CATTTGACAATATCATGACAAAAGAAAAGAGAAAAAGAACACAGTCTCAAAGATAGACACATTAAATAAATAGATAGAAAGAAATTGAAAGAAAAATATAAAGAAAAAGATAAAGTAAAGAGAGACTATAACAAAACAAATTATTAAAAGAGAGTGTATAGCTGTTTTAACAGACTATATCTGATTAATTTCCTTCTCTTCATACTCAGATAATTCTGAATTTAGTCATTTTCTTGTAGCTGCTTGAGTTTCTGATAGAAAGTCTATTAAGTATTTAATTCCTGTCTCAGTTGAGAATAAGAATCTCATAATTAATTGATTTAAATCATACTTCTCTTTCAATCTGGCTCTGAGACTATTGTATAATGCACAGTGCATTACAATATACTCAGGATTCTCATTTGTATTGCAGAATGAGCATTCTATTGAGTCAAATCTATCATCAAATCTTTGTATATAAGATTTGAAATAGCCATGTCCTAGTTTCAGCTGTATTATAGATGAGAATATTTTCTTTTTACATTTAATTGAACAAGATTTTCACTTGGGTTTTGTTTCAAATCTTGAATAATGTATACTCTTCTTTTGTTTCTGCCAGCTTTCATTTCACTTGTCTAAACAAGATTCTTTTATTTTTCTCTTTATAAAAGATCAGAACATAATTTTTTGAATAGATCTGCTTAATTCTGCACCCTTTTTTACAGCTGAATCAGTCAATTCATTATCATGAATATTCATGTGAGCAGGAACTCAGTGTAGATGAATTATCAGCTTTGATATTCTTCTCTTTTGAATTTTCAAAACAGAGTTTAAGATCAGTTCAAGATTCATTTGATTATTATGAATCTGACTATTTCTAAGTCTTTTTAAAGCAGCTTGACTATCAGAGAATATTCATATCTCTTTCAAACAATTTTCTCTTTTATAAGATTTTATTTCAATGAGTTTGAAAGCTTTCACTATTACAAATAGTTCAGCATCAAAGACTTCACATTCAGAGCCTAGATTTCAGAAATCTGAGATAAAATTAATATTATCTTCAGTATAAGCAATGCCTGTGCCTAATCTATTCAAGTTCTCATTTTTTGAGCCATCTGAATAAATCAGAATAGAGTCTTTTATATTGATTGTAGAAATTCTCTTCAAATGCTGTTCATATTCTTTCTCTTTTGATAGTTCACTTATTTGTAAGTCTATAAGAGATTCAAGCTTTTCTCTCCAGAGAGATAACTTCTCATGATCAACTTTTTCAACATTTAAAGAAGAAAATTGATTTTTAATCAGAGAGCATAGTCTGTACAGTTGAGAAGGCATTTTCTTTGAAGAATTATTTTCATTTCAATCAAGAAATCTATTTCAATCCAGTTCATTTCCAGAGTTAATTAATGGAAATGAAGAAGAGACTCTTTCTCTGATTATATGATTTGAGCTCATCTTTACAACTCTCAGAGCATAGTTCATACAGGCCTTTTTAAATCTAATAGCAGAAGAAGGAATTGAAGCTTCAATTTTCATTGCTTTAATAGAAGATGATTTGAATGCTTTCAGAATTCTTCTCAAGGCTCTGTTTTGCAGACTTTGAAAGAGTTCAGTGAAATTCCCTTGATTATTTCATCAAACTTGAACTTCATAATCAGCTACTGATGTAATACAGGCTATATATAACTGTCTCATAGCCTGGAAGAATAGATCTCTCTCTGTATTTGATAGTCTGATTATGTTGTTCAATAGTCTTTCTGCCTTGACAGTTCTTTGTTGAATATGATATTTAAAATTCAACTTGGAGTTTAACCATACTCCTAATCATTTGACATTTACACTGGGTTTAATCTCTTTATTTAAAAGAGTTAGAGATAATTCTTTCTCATTGAGTCTAGAAAAGAAATGAATTAACTCAGTTTTATTCATATCAAATTGAATTTGATTAATATCTGCTCTAACAAAGATTTTCTTTACAGCTTCTTCAATTACTTTCAAATTCTCTTTGATAGTTTTTAAGCTGTAGACTAGACTAATATCATTCATATAACTCAGAGATTGCACTATTCTCATATTTCTATTTTTGAATAGATATGCAGTGTATATTGTAAATAAAATAAGTGAGATTGAAGATCTCTGTGATACTCCTATTTTTATCTCAGTCTTGTCTTGTTTCATTCCATCAAAGAAGAGTTGTATAATTCTTTTAGACATAAAACAGTTGACTCATTTTATTAGAGAAAGTGGCAGTTTTAATATCTTCAATGTCTGAATTAACTTTGACTTTGAAACATGATCAAATGCTTTCTTTATATCAATAAAAACTGCAGTTGAGACCAGACTCTCATGCTTTGCTATTTGAATATCATGAATAACTGAGAGAACAGTGTCAATTACAGAACACTGTTTTCTATCTCTCATTTGTTCACTGAATAAAAGAGAATCATCTATAGAGCTTATAAAAGATAGTTGAGTAGCTATTATCTTTTCTAAAACCTTTTCTAAACAGTTCAATAGAGATATTACTCTATATGACTTAGAAATTGAAGTTTTTCTATTAGATTTTACAAGAATCACTTCAGTGGCTTCTCTCCAGCATTCAGAATGATATTCATTTTTCAAGAGATTGAAAAAGAGCTCAAAATATTCATTCTTTAAGTAGAAATATGTATTTTGAATAATCAAGTGATTAATTGAATCAGGACCTGCAGCAGTTTTAACAGAACTTGAGAAGATAGCTAACTCTAATTCATCTTGTGTAAGATCAGACTATTCCCAGTCATTTTCATCAATGTAGTTGAGAAGTGATATATTCTCTTTCTCTGAATCTGAATCTGAGTCTGATGAGTTCTGAAAGAGAATTCTCATGAAAGCTTGACATTTTTCCTCAAAAGAGTTTGCTGTATATGATTCATTCTGAAACTCATATTCTAAGGCTGGAAGTTTTGCTACACTTCTTGTTTTAGTATAGTTAAAAGCTTTAAAAATTTCCTTTTCTTATGCTTCTTCAAGAAATTTATTCCAGCAGTCTGTTTTAGCTCTTTTGATATCTGAAAAATATTCATTTCTGACAGCTTTGAACTCTTCATCAGATATTACATCATTTTTTCAATCTCTTCTAGCAGTAGCTAATTCTTTCCTTTTAGATGAGATATTCTCATTTCATTAAGATTTTGAATACTCAGAAGATTTTCTTTTTGAAATATTATCTCTAACACTTGTTAGAATAATAGATGTAATAAGCTTCACTCTATTCTCAAGCATTTCATTTGAGATATCTTGACCAGAATTTCAATATAGCTCATTCTGTCTTTCAGATTTTAGCAGTTTTATACTTTCTTCAACTGCTTTTCAATCAGCTTTTTCAAAGTTATACTGATTAGAGAGAAGAGGATTTTCACTCATTTATTTTTCACTCAGTTCAATATCAAATTGAATAATCTCATGACCTGATTCTGATGTCTCATTTGAATCAATAAACCAGTTTACAAGTCTTCTTTTCATTAGATTTTGTGACATGAAGATTAGATCTATAATAGACTTCTGTTTCATACCTTTTCTAAAGAATGTTTATTGATCAGACTTATTAACCAAATCTATTAAATGCTCAAAGGTTCATTCAATCAGATTATCAGCTCTCACTGCTCTCTTGCATTCTGAATTTCATCAGAGATGATGTGCATTGAAATCTCCTGCAATTATAGAGTTTCTTGATAAAGTTATGTTCAGAAATTCTCTATCAATTGTTCAGATATTGTTATTTTTCTTCAATGACTTTTCATTATAGATATTTATGAGCTGTATAGTATCAAACTCATTTTCTTTATCTATAATATCACTCACCAGAATATCAGGGTCAGACATGATATCAAATCTTAGATTAAATTGATATCTTGATCTCTTTCTTTCATAGATCACTACTCTTGACTTTATCTCAGACTTTTGAGGTAAAAAGCAGTAGTAGCTTGAATGAGAAATAACATATTTTTGCTCAGCATGAAAATTCAGCTCCTGAAGCAGTATAAAATCAACTTTTTATTCAAATGCAATTTGAAGACAAGAATAAATACAATTTGAGTTTCTATCCATATTATTTTGAATAAATGTGATTTTTGAAGAGTTTTTAAACTTTTTTTATTGTTTTTGTTGTATATTCATACTAAAAGAGAGTAGAGTAGAATCTAATCACTATCATCAGATAGTAGATTATAACTGTTCTGAAAAGTAGAAATCTCAACTGCTTGTATTATATCTAGTTTATCATCAGAGTCATTTCTCAATTCTCTAATCTTAACAGAAGTTTGAGGATTCAAGTTCTGTTTACATTTAGCTGAAGAGTTGGAGTTTGAAGACTTAGATAGTTGAGAGTTTCTTCTTTTTGAGCTTGCAGTTATGAGTTTACTGGCTTGACTCTTCTCTTCAGTTCTAGATTGACTTTGAGCTTCATCTTTTCTCCAGTTCTTTTGAGTTCTAGAAGTAAACATACATTCTTTTGAGCTAGATGTATGTTTTTCTTTGCAATTAGAGCACTTAAGCAGAGTATATTGACAAATTTCACCTCTTTTTGAGCATGTTTCACATTTATGCTCACTAGTTTTGTAATCTCTGGCACAGAATGCACATTTTGAGTCTCTAAAATATGAGATTGCAAAGTGTTCATATCTTTGACAGTTTGAACACTGTGTTTGAGCTTTGAGGTTCATTCTTGAGTCTTTGTATTTATGAACTCTCATTTTCAAACCTGCTACTCTTACTTCAGAGATCTTTGACTGTTCAAGTGTTTTTATATATACTAGAACAGAGACATTTCTCCTGCTTTGTCTGAACTCAATTGAATTTAGTCATACAGACTTCTTTCTCAGTTGAATAGAGTTGTATTCTTCTAATTCATTTTTGAGAAGTAGCATTCCTTCTTCACAGTTAAAAATTTCAACTGAAATATTATGAAGAATGAATTTGTCTCACTTTTCATCTCTTTCAGATAGAATTGTTGTGTTTAACAAAGATTCTACTGCTGACTTTCAGAGATTCTCATTCTGAATAAGAAATTCAGCACTGAATTCAGGCATTGTAGTCAGAATGATGAAGTTTTCAAAGAATGATGATTCAATTGAAGCTATAACTGGTTTTTGAACTTCAATATCAGTCATCAACTGAGAAAAGAACTGCTGATTAATTTCATTTCTGATTCTGAAAATGAGATTTGAGTTTAGCTTGTTTCTTTGCAGAATGTCCTGATTTGAGACTTTGAGAATAAGTCTTCTATTTCTGAAGATTTGAAAGTTTTTCTCTTTTTGCATTTTCTTTTCTACTTTTCTATGAATAGAGGCATGAGCAGTATTCTTCTCAGTTTTCTCAGGATTTTGAGCAGGTTTTGAGACAGCAGGTTTAGAGACAGCAGGTTTAGAGGCAGCAGATTCAGCTGCTTGAGCATATGTTTTCTTCTGATTCAAAGAAGGAGAAGAAGAAGAAGTAGAAAAGAAAGAAGAGCAAACTGAAGAGTCAGTGATTGTATTAGAAATTTTCAAAGTTTTTTGAACTGTGTTTGAAATTTCAAGTTTGAACTTGATCACTTCCTGTAGTTGTCTAGCCTGAGCATGAAGAATTAACAGAACTTCTTCATTCATCTCACTCAGACACTGCTTTTCAAGAATTTTACTTGCTTTTTCAAGTTCCTGTATTTCAAGAACTTGTTGTTTCTCTATCTCTTCTTTCTTTCTTCTCTTCAGAATTTCAATCTCAGGAATAGCATTTGAGAAAGCATCTTTTTCCACATCAACTGAGTGTACTTTTGAACTCATTGTTCTTACTCAATGAAAAGTTGGTCAGACTAATTCAATTGAGATATTTATTAAACTCTTTTGAATTGAAAAGTTGGTCAGACTGTTTCAATTAAGAGGTTTCTAAGTCTGTTTTCAATTGAAAAGTTGGTCAGACTATTTCAAAAGAAGAATCGCAGACTTTTGTGTATAAAACACCTGATTTTTTTCACACTAGTTCAGTAACTAGGTTAGATTTTTGAAGAGAATCTAATAAACTAAAATTGATTTTTAAGATAAATCAATAAAATCTTTACAATCTCTTTCTTGGGATACAGTGAGGAAAAGTATGATATCAATTGATAGTAAATCAGATGATATGACAGTTTTTGAGAGAAAAACTGACAAAAAATAAATCAATTTTTTGAAGAGAAATTGATTAAAACTATTCAATTTTATTCTAAATTATCCAATTCTCCTCACACAACAGGTGTGCAACTCAAATCAGTTAATAAAGAGTGTAAAAAAGAATTAAGTATTAATGAAAGCTCTTCAGCCACTGAAAAAGTAATTCTTACTTAAAAGAATATGAAATTATGACAGAAAACAACTCTGTTTTTAATTCTTTGTAAGAATATTGTGTAAAACCCAGAGAAAAACACCTTACTTTTTTAAGAGAAGTAAAAAACTATTTCTAAAATCTTTTTTTTTGCATTAACTGCTGCAGAAGAATGAGATAGAAACTGCTAAGATATGCACTACTGTATATCTTCTACCAAGACTTTCCCTCTTCAGGGTCTTGATATTATAGAGAATATAAGTCTGTTTCTATATAATAATATAAATATTGCCAGTGGGATGTAGAGAAACTGGTTATTTATATCTCAAGAGATGAATCTGTGTGATGATTATACAAGAATCTCATGAAAATGATTGAGAGTCAACTGAAACTCTTCTGTATGAAAGATGTGAGATGAATCTGTGTGATAGTCAGAGAAGAATCTGTAGATCATAAAGAATCTTATGAAATAAGAAACTAAGTGACAGACTCTTTTCTCTTTGTGATAACAAGGGATTTTTCCTCACTGAGGTTTTTTATAGATATGAAGGATTTTTAGTGAGTATCACTGCAGTGCTGAGCTGATTCTATGAAGTCACTCAGTGAAAGGCTTCGCGGATGAAGCCTTAGAGAGGGGGAGGTATGTAAGAAATCCTGCTTCTCACAGATTCTTTATCTCTATTTCTATCTCTCATATAATCAATAGAGCTAGCAGCCCTTGACTACACACAACTATATAGACTGGAGTTCACAAATACTATTCATAACTCAGCTTGAATGCTATTATACATTTGACCTCTACATTTTATCTTTCTACTGTGAATACTTCTAGTAGTTAACAGTACATATCACGCCAAGCTGCAAACACCTGAATAATCGCCTGCGAGCACTTATTCTTACAGCAATGAGATCTTGATATAACTGAGAGTATGACAATGCTCTTCTCTTTAAGAGTATAGTCTCTATACTCTCAAGATTACTGAATTAGAAATTATCTTTGTTGTATAGCAATAGTTATCAATCAATTGATAGCATGTGTACTGTGCATAATACAAAGAAATAGATGAGTTTTTCTGCTGACTGTATAGATCTTTCTTTTTTCATCATTATTCAAATCAAATGTGTGATAAGTAAGTTTCTTATATATTGATTTGAAATGTGAAAAATGTAGTTAATAAGAGACTTGCAGATCTTTCAATATATTCTATTTTATATATGAAATTCTCTGCAAAAGTGATGTGTTTTAGAGACAAAGCTAACAGTAGTGGCAGGATTTTTTTGAAAAGATCTCTCTTCTCTGTGATACTTTTTTCTCCTCTCTCTTTTCATCTGCAATAGTGAGTGCATGAGAGTATCATTTTTGAAGAACAGTAGAGAACTTATTCTGATGTTTTCTAGTGAGTAAATGTCTTTGTAGTGCGGTGACAGTCTCTGTGATCATTAAGAAAGTCAGGTTGAAGGCAGAGATGGCAGTGTCAATGAGCTGCAGAAGCACTGCTCTTATTATCACATCTTCTTCTTCTTCTGCTTCTTTTGCAGCTGTGGCAGTAGTCACTGTGTCTTGCAGTGAGATGTTGTCTCTTCTGTCAGTCAGTTTATTCATGTTCAGTTCATCTCTCATTCTTCTCATCACTGTTGCAATGCTGCTCTCTCTCTCAGTCAATACAGTGATATATGACTCTGTATGATTATTCAGAGAGAAATCTGAGAAGAGCTTGATTCTGAGAACAGTGACTCTGAGAAGCTCAATCTGTAGTTCCTCTTCTGTGACACACTCAAGCTCTACTCAGAATGCTGCTGAGTTGAGTCTGCAGAGTCTCACAGTTTCTTCATCTTCTCTCTGTAAGAAGGCTTCAGTGTGATCTCTGATCAGCACTGCTACTTATCTACACTATATTAAGCAGCTGAAGAAGAAGGAAATTCTGTGTATCTGTCTCTTCTCTCACTTTCATTGTTTTCATTATATCTGCAATAATGACTTCTATCTCTCTGTAAGTATTATCTACTCTACAAGAAGACATTATATCAGCTCTGACAAGAGCTCAGATGCTTAAGTAGTACAGAGTAAGAGTCTCAAAGCTTCAAGTGTTGATAAATTCTATCAAGACTGAAGAGATCTCTCTTACTTATCTGTAAAAGAAGATGAAAGTGTGAATCTCTGAGATAAAAAAACATCTCAGAATGACTGATCTTAAGAAGAGATTAGCTGACACTGCTGTTGAAAGTGCTGTGAAGACTAATCACTGATTAAAGAGAATCTCACTTTAACTGAAGCAGATGACTGAGATGCTTTGTAAGTTAATAAGTTAATATTTTATATATTTCTTATACTCTTCTACAGTGCTGCAGTACTAACTTCTTGACAGATAAAGATATCAGTACTGAAGACTTCAACAGTGAAGAATGAGTTTAATAAGAGTGTGATTATTAATAAGTAGACTCTGATTCTTCTTTTTACTTTTTCAGTGAGCTGTGACCTTATTAGAATAGCAGTAGCTTATGAATCAATAATATTAATCTTTTTATTAGTTTTAAATATCTCTTTTCTTTTAATTACTTCAGGAATATTACACTTGTGTAGTCTCATTAAACTTCTAAAAATTCTTTGAGAGAAAATAGGAGAAAAGTGCTACTAAGTCTATAAGACATCAGCTTATCACTGCAAGATTATCTTTAAAAAACTCTTTGAGAAAAATGAGAAGTCTTAAGTAATATTTCTTGCTCAATATCTCTGATATGTAACAGAACAATCTCTACTAATTATCTCATAGATTGTAATCTCTTTCTCAGCATTTTTCAGATACTTAAGTAATTCTTACAAATTCTCTGACAATGAATAATCTTCTTATTTAACAAGGTATTGAAGCTTATCATAATATGTTCACTTATTCAATATTTTCTTCACAAGATATTCAGTATTATTCTTAATCTTGATATCATTCAACTGAGATAGCTCTGCTCTGAGACATTACTTATAAAGCTTTAAATAGAAAATGTGAAAAATAGAATAAATTGATTTCAATTCTGTGAGTAATTTCAACTCATATGTCTGCTTACTCATCACTCTTGTTATCAGAAAAGATTCTAGCTACTACTCACTGAGCTTCTTGTACAGTCTCATTATCTTGATATTCTTTACTGAAAGTAGCACTTAATTCTCTATCAAGAACTTTATTGAAAGATGTTTTTAATTATAGTATTTCATCTGTCACTTCTGAGTGTGATGAATACTTTTCACTGTCTTCTTATAAATTTTATTCAAAAGTTTCAATCTCACTTTTACTTCTAATACTGAGAAATACTTCATTCTCTGTATCTATCTGACATTCTGACTGTTTATTTTCTCCTTTAAAATGTTGTTCATGACATCACTGAGTAATAAAGAATTATATTCATAATAAGTATAGAAAGAAAATATCTTTAAGATTGCATTCTTTGCATTATTATATATGAATTCAGTAGTTAGAAGATGTTTGAGTCAATTATTCTGATAATATGAATAGAATACTCAAAGATACTGTTCTAGTGTCTGATTCTGATATTCAGTCTGATTATCAGTTTGCAGATGAAATGCAGTACTAAGAAGACATTTTATTATAAGATAATAGTAAAAAGCTGATCAGTACTTACTGATAAAGAGGAATTCTCAATCTGTTATCAATGATTTCAGAGCACTGTAATTATGAATAATAATATCTAAAAACAGATCAGTTAATTCAGAGGTTTTAATCTTTTTATGAGTAGAAATATATCTGATTATCTTTGTGAAGTGATTAATAATGATTAAAATTGAGTCATATTCTTTAACTCTTGTCAACTTCAGCAGGTTAACTATGAAATTCATTAATAGATTCTGTTATGAGCTCTTTGAAACAGGCAGTGATGTCAACTCACTGTATTACTTATATCACAGAATCTTTATTCTTTGACAGATATTGTAAGTTTTAATATACTCTTTGACATCTGTCTGAAGCTTGTCTTAAATGTATTTATATTTTAGAAGCTTCTCAGTCTTCTCTAACTCAAAGTGTCTTGCATGAAAATTATTATAATGAATTCTTAATAACTTCTGATATACTGTTCTACTACAAGGAATGAAGACTGAATTATTCAGCAGTAGAAGTTTATATTCTTCTAGTTATCAGTGACTTGATTTCTTAGCAGTATCACCTTGCTCAGAGTCTGTCTCTTTCAAGTTCAAATCAGACTCTTTCTTCTTCAACTTCTGAATTTAAGCTGCAGTAGAGATATCTCTCTTCTGTAATTTATCAATGAATTTCAAAAGTAGTCAGATTGAAAGATTGTAGACTGTTTCATTCTTTATCAATTCAATAATTGTAAGATATGACATGAGAAGCTCATGATCTTCAGTGTCAGTTCTTCATAAGAACTCAGATTCTCTTTCATCTTCTATACTGAGTTATGCAGCTGTCTCTTCAGCACTGTTTCTGAGCTTTAGAGAATCTTAATTCTCTGCAGCCAGCTTCTTCTGCAGTGATGATAGAGATTCTTTTATAGAATTCTTCTTCACATTAACAATATTATAATTAAGGTGTTTAGACAGTGTATTAGCAGGGTTAAGCTGATCTGAACAGTATCAGATATAGAAATTATACTCTGAAAGCAGTTTCACTCATCTAGCTTGATATTCTGTCAAGCTCTTTGTTATCAAGAAGTAACACAGATTTGCATGATCAGTGAGAACTTACACTGAGTACTTACTACTCTGAAGATAATATTATCAGATCTTAAAGAATTCAATAATTACTAATATCTTCTAATTATGAATATCATACCTTCTCTGTGTGAGTGATAACTTCTTGAAGAAGAAGATCACTGATCTTTATTCACAGTGTCTTATAAACTCTGTGAAAAAGTCTTCTCTTACAGATAATTCATTGTCTGTTTTCTCAGAAGTGATTATTCTCTGATTCTTTCAACATTGAAAGGTCTTCAGTGTCAACTGTGAAAAGATTTCACAGACTTCATTCTTAGATGTATCAGTTTCACACTGACTGAGTAAGTCAGAATTAAAATAATTCAGCATCATGACATCTGTGAAAGCTTGTTTCAATTTCACAAACATCTGCACAGTATCTTGAGTGAGAATAAACAGTTTCATTTTTCTGTCTTTCACACTTCTCTTTAACAGATCTGTAAGAGAGGCAGTAATCTGTGAATATGTATAGATGAATCATCTGTAGAAATTCACAAATTCTAGAAATATCTGTATCTCACAGTACATTCACAGTGCTGATCAGTTCTCAATAACAGAGACTCAGCTTCTGTTTATTGAAATGCTATTCATCTTAATAATATA